ATGTCGGAGCAGGGACTCCAAAATGGTGCCTCCAAGAAAGGCATGACCACGGAAGCCGCCATCGTCCGATCCCGCGGATCAAGTTTTCAACCGGAGCAACACAAGGGAGTGAGAGTACCGCGACGGTGTCTGAAGGAGGAAATGATGACCACGGTCCCCGCCATCGTCAGACGAACCACGGTAGCACTGGTCGCCTGTGGCTCCTGCTGGCCTCAGCCCTTGCCGCCAGACGGGTCACCAGCAGCAGATCCAGCCGGATCTGACCGGGACATCGCACGCAAAACCACCCGGAGAAGAAGCCCCGTCACCACCTTGGACCGCTTCACCGGCAGCCGCTGCACCGCCACCAAGCAGCAGGGAGAGGCGGCGCCACAGCCCCCACGCGTGCCTGACGCCGCGCCGCTGAACCCCGCCGTAGCCCAGTGCCTCTGGCGGCCAACCGTCCTACGCGGAGGGGAAAGGAGCGGCCCCACCACCGCCTAAGCCGGTCGGGCTTTGCCCAACGGCGCCTCTAGGCGGCGGCGAGGGAGGGGGCGGAGGGGACGGTGTGGGAGGCGGCGGCCGCTGGTTCCCCTGTCCACTCGCGCTCGGGGGAAAGGCACCAACCACCAATCTCACTACTTCTCCATCATTTCGTTCCATGCTCGTCGATCTCATCGTCTTGATCTACTGGAATTAAACTGAACCTATGTGCTTGTTCACAGCTGCAGATCGTCACTGCCAGCAGTGGCTGAGATTAGTTAGAGACATGCCAGCCAGCATCACAGGCTTTCATTCACAATTATCGACGCACCTTGTCATGAAGATCAAGCTCATTTCATGGGAGACTAGTTAATTCTTGCAATCATTTGGAAGTTGAGAAAAATGTGTCGCCCCTGTCTTCTTTCGTCATATATAGAGGCAGAGCCGATTTTCATTTCCTTCACCAGCATTTTATCTCCTCTTCCATTTCCAGAGAGGACAAACAATCTCATATCTGTAATTTCCATAGCCATGGCTTGCCATCACCGATATGCCAGTGTGCCTTCCAACCCTCTCTCGGAGGAACCAACATCCAAGATCAGCTGCAGAGCCTGAAGGCGGTCATGTCTTCGCCTTCTGTGACAATCCAGATAGTGTGTGCTGATCTGACAGAGCTCGTGAGCATCTACAGCTGCATCGACGAGCTCACATGCTTGACCAGCAGCAGTCAGACTTAGCAGAGGAAAGCTGTCGAGGACGAGCTTGAGCTCTCTTTAGTGCTGCTAGACCTCTACAGCGTCATGCAGGAGAGCTTCATGGAGCTCAGGACGAGTGTCGTGGAGGTGCAACTATCCCTCAAGAGAGTGGATGGCACGACAGTCCACACCAAAAGGTTCAGTCTTACGCCCGCTTGGCCAGAAAGGCTCAGAGGCTGTGCAAAAGCATCAGCAGCAAGGCTGCCTCTGACATGGAGGGATTCAGCGCCATCAAGATGACCGCTGAAGCGAGAGACATTGCCATCGTGATACTCAAGTCGACGTTGCATCTCTTTTTGAAGCAGATTACAATACCAAAATTTTCTAGTAGGTGGTCTCTAGTATGCAGGGCATTCCAGAAGAAGAGATTTGCATGCGACGAGGGGCAGTTGCAGGAGTTGCACATCATTGATCTTGAGAGTAGACTTCAGCTCCTCTTCAGGAGAATGATCCATAGCAGGGTCTCTCTTCTGAACAATCTTAGCTTGTAGCGAGATCAACTTAGTGCAGCATCTCTAACCCCCACTAATCTGTGACCACCATTTGGAGGATCATGGAAACAATTTTCTGATGTATTGCCGAAAAAGGGTTTCCTCCCGCTTTGTATTCCAAAGCAACCAACACTGATACAGGATCGCTGGGGCGAACAGCACAACAAGCCCAAAAGAAAAAAAGAAGAAGAAGCAAATGCCAACAACGGCAGCTCGACAAAGCGCGGATGACCCGCCACCGCTACACCCACCAGAGACAAACCACTACAACCCGAGGCTCCGGACCACCACGTACAAAACAACACCTCCAAGAAGGAAAGCGACGCCGACGACGCTGCTGCCTGGACATGTCCTAGGGTTTCCCCGGCACGCGGAGGGAGGTGGGGGATGGATAGCACCGACACCCTCCAGGAAGGAATGGTGGCACCTGCAGGTGTCACCGCATCGGGGCCAAAGACCGGCAAGGATTTCTCCCATACTCCAATCCCCACCGCCCAACGGACCGGAGCCAACCAGCCAGACCGCCGCCCACCACCATGCGCCATCGCGGTTGCGCCGTCACCCACGCCGCCTCACTGCGAACACCACCACGAGGCCAAGAGGACCGGAGAAAAGCGCCCCACGGAGGGAGAAGCAGCACCGAAGCCGAACGGGAGGGAACCACCTCCACCGCCGTCGTGCGGGAGGCCAGAGCCTCTGGCACCGTCGCGGTAGCCGTCCGGACGCGGCAGCAGGGCATGCCAGGCCACCCTTGGCCCGGCCAGGCCCGAAACAGGCCCGCTAACCCCGCCGCCACGCTGCAGCAAGCCGGCGATGGCGCCGCCAGCACCCTGCCGCTCATCGCCTCTCCCCCGCCTCCCGGAAGCCACGAAGCAGACCCACCCCGCCGCCGGCCCGCCCAGGCCCAGATGGGGCCCGAAGGGCCCAAATCTGGGCCGAGCGGGCGCCGCCAGACCATGCCACCACGTCGCCCCGCCGCCAATGGCGCCGCCGCCGTCCAGAAGTCCGCCCCCGCTCGCGCCAGGAGCCCCCGCCGCCGCGCTGGACCGCCGCCGCCTAGAAGCACCGCCCGGGGTCACCCCGTCCCGCGCCGGCGCACCCGAGAGGGGAAAAGCCAGGGGGCCGCCGCCACCAGCATCGCCCGGGCCAGGCCCGCAGCGGGCGCAGGCGACGGCGGTAGAGAGGAAGGGGGGAGAGGCGCGCGGAGGAGAAGGCTGGGCGCGGCCGGCCGCCCGCGGGGGCAGCGCGGTCGCGGGAGAGGAGAGGAAGGGAGTTCTGATGTATTTAATGTATAGAAAATCACTCAGTTCAAAAGCAAAACTTTTGTCCATTTAAACTTGTCAGCCTGAGTATAATTTCACACATGCCCCATGGTGCCTTTCTTTTCATGCTTCATAAAACCCGCGACCAAATAATCAATCACCCAAAATTGTAGCTATTCAATTCCAGTTTTTCTATTTATAAAAGGGTCACATCCCAGTCTCATTATGTGAATGCCCGTGGGGATTTGACTGCGTGTCACCCAAGTAAAACACAAAAAAGATCAACAGAATTTCCAACATATCACCACAGCAGTAGAATGCCACCTCAAACAAAAACAGGATGCCTAGACGTCTCAATCAGGAATTCAGTTTAAGTTCTTTCAGTTAAAATCTGATTCACTCAAACTAGTTTTCTTATTGAATGTTAAGACCTACAGTACATTAGCATTCCCAACCAAAGAACTATTTGAGCACTACTTAAGAACTAATATTTGCTGATCAACCAGAATACACACGGATGCAAAACTACTTGATTAGGATTCCCAATTAAAGAACTATTTGAGCATGCACGTATGACTAGAACAAGCAATAATCGAGTAAACTGCCGCCCCTTTCATTTGCTGTCAGTAGCTTAAGACATGAGAACGTGTTAGGCCTAGTTAGGAGCACCTAATGCACCCTTAAGATGCAAAGGGTCACATGAGGTAGTTAATAGCCCTAGTGGAAACATGCCAGCGATGCTCACCATACAAACACATCGTGTTGTGTTGGAGCTCAAAGGTGAAGTAAACTGTTCCTCCACCACCAATAAGCAACAGCTAGCTCTTTCGCTCCACTAGCTCACCAATCTCATGATTTGGATCTGGATCTGACATCAAACTGCATGATTGTGCAGATGAGTTTGCTGCCCATAGTGGAGACATGACAAGGTGCTCATAAGCTCAACCAGAGGCGAATAGTTGGAGATGCTACTTACACTGATCAGACATACAAAAGAAAAATCAGCTTGTCGTGGAGATGGGTGGCAGCGGCACAGCACCCCATCAGCGATGAGATTCCAGTTGTCTACAAGGCCAGCCATTTCATGGCTTGTGCTTATATAGAGAGGCAAACCATACCGGTTAAGCACCATTGCAGAAAAATTTCTTTTCTATGAATCTCTCTTCCATTTCCAGATACATAGAAAGCACACCACACCATCCCCCATTCCAGCCATGGCTAGCCAGCAAAACCTCTTTTCTCTGAAGGCGAACATCTCTTCACCTTCGGCTACCATTGAAACAATGTTCGATGGCTTCAGGAGGTGTGTACGTGTGTACAATAGCATTAAGGAGATCATATGCAGCCAAATTATCCTTTGCCAGAGCAACAAAGATAGGCTGTGGAGCTTGAGCTACAGCACTATCTTGCACTGATCGACATCCTAGAGAGCTTTTCTTAGCTCAAGGCAAGCACTCAGGAAATTACATTGGCTCTCAGACCAAGATCCAGTCCTTCAGCCGTCTGACCAAGATGGGGCCAAAACAGTGGAAGAAGATCAACAAGAAATCTCCTTCAGCTGACGAGGGTTGCAGGGTGGTCAAACTGTTGGCTGGAGCAAGAGAGGTCGTTGCTTCAATGCTTCAGTCACCCAGGCGGCTCCTACTGAAGTAAATTGTGATGCCGATTTATAACAAGTGGTATCTTGTCTCTAAGTTCACTTCTATGCAACAAGGAGCAAATACTGAAACTGGAGTTTCGTTGTTCTTAGGGCAGTGCTTAGACTTTGTTGAGGAGATTGATCAGAGCAGAGTTTCTTTTCTGAATGCACCCACCTATTAGAGGATCAATTTAATGTTTATGCTGCTGATAGCTTGGACAGCGTCTTCAAGAATAAAACAACTCTGGAGCATTTAACTCAGATGGATCTTCAGAAAATATAGTTACTCTGAAATGCTCATCATTGCTGGCCGTCATACAAGCTAATACCATACTGTTAAAACCGTGTTTTGGAATGTGTCTCTACAAGATAGCCATGTTATTCAGATGCCATGGGTTGCTCAGAAACAAGCAAAGGATCCTTGTACACTGGATCTTGCTATCCACGGCAAAGGAAGATGTTGGAAGGTGAAACAGAGTGCTCCCTTGAGCTACTAGATCTCTGCAATGCTATGCATGAGGACTTCACCGAATTGAAGGCCATTATCCAAGATCTGCAAGTGGCGACCAGAAAAGGAGATGACACCGCTGTTCAAATCAAGATCCAGTCTTACACCCACCTGGTGAAGAAGGCGAAGAAACATTTCAAGAAGGCCGCGAAGAAGGTTACAACCGACAAGGAGGACTGCAGGATGGTCAGGCTGTTGAGCGAGCCTAGGGAGATCACCACCTCTCTCCTCGAGTCAACAGTACACCTCTTGTCGAAGCAAATCGCAGTGCCAAAATGGTCTCTCGTCTCCAAGGCATTCCAGAAGAAGAACCCGGTTGTTTGCAAGGAGGAGCAGTTGCAGGTCCTAGAGTGCAGTGTCGGAGATCTTGAGGCTGGAGCACGAATTCTGTTCCGGAGATTGGTCCAGAGCAGAGTTACTCTCCTAAACATTCTTAGCTCATAGATACTGTTTAACATCTGCTACTCTTGCACCGCGTGATTGGCTTCCACCTTTTAAAGGATTGTTGATCTTCCCAGTGTGTGTATATATGTAGAAATGTACAGAATACTCCATACAGAAAGGAAACAAAAGTTTTGATCGAACTCATACAGTGAATTCAATCTTTGCATGCTTCTGAGATTCCACGCTGGTGCATAACTACTTGCTTGTTCGTACCTTGTATATTAATGTGGCCACGTTGCCTCACACCTGCTTAATCTCATGATTTTGGTTTAGCATCTTTCACTGACATGACAGGTCCAAACTACAAGGCAAGCTTGCAAATGGATAACATGCTGGCCAGATTTTCTTCACGGCTACACAGCCTAGCCTGGCATTGCTTTGTTTTTATTTGCATCCAGCATTAAAAACACAATTACAATAAAAGAGATAACAACTTAAATTTGTTTGTTGGCAAGGCGTGGTGGTTGCAAAACAATTTGAAAATTTTCTGGAATCGTCGTGTACTTCTAATGATACTCGGTACTTGGCATCCATATCATTTGTGCACGTACATGATAGTGCATATAGTCATGTGAAACACTTCATTGAAATTTTCTTAATAGCTTTCAAAATTTGTTTGTTTCCTTAAGTTTATATTACATCAGTTTTGATTTTGAATGTTGTAGTTTCATCACAATCACTAGTTAGCGGTTACCCTTTACAAAGGTTAACCCACGCCGCATTTAGTGGTGACATGGGGCATAAGGCATGTTCAACACGTGTTGCCATCACGTTGTATTGGTGGGATTTTTTCGAACCTGGCAGAGGATGTGTAACATCGTTTGGAGGCTAGGGGGGTTGAATAGACTAACAGTAGTAACCACCTAAAAATCTAGTCAATTTTAATCTTCACAAACTTTAAGCTTAGCAAAAAGATGCCTAAGAACACCATACACATGCAAAACTACGAAAGAGTATAGTGTGGAAGCAAAACTTGCAAGTAAGGTAAGAGAGTTTGGGAGAGAGATCGCAAACCTGATTGTTCCTAAAGGTTTGGATGGTTGGCGCTATCATACTTTGGCAGAGGTTCAAATCAAAAAGGTTTTAAGACTAAGTACCACAAAGGCGAAAGTGTCAGTAGCATCGCCTACCAAGGATCCACAAAGCACTTACCAACCTATATCACCATCGCTTATGAACCACAATGGTCAGGCCGGATAGATCTTTACGAAGTAGGCGATCTCCTAGTGTCAGTGTACAAAAGTAGGGGCCCTTCTGTACCCCTTTACTTGCTTGACGGAGCAGGGGAAGCAAAGATACAAGGCTGTCGAGGCAGCACTCAAGCCAGAAGCATAAAGAGCGAAGGGACAAGATGGGCTTCCCCTGGCAAGAGCCTTGCCGGGGTGGCCTACATGGCCCCGGCAAGAGCCTTGCCGGGACAACTTGCCCAACACCAGCAAGACCGCCACCCTTGAGCCTGAGAGTTATGACGCCATCGACAACATCAAGACCAAGGCTCGGGAGTGTCTTGCGTGGTGGCATGCAGATCTTTGTGAAAACCAAAGGCCTGCAAGCCTAGATGAGAACCAGAAGACAAAGACCCTAGTGGAAACATGCCAGCGATGCTCACCATACAAACACATCGTGTTGTGTTGGAGCTCAAAGGTGAAGTAAACTGTTCCTCCACCACCAATAAGCAACAGCTAGCTCTTTCGCTCCACTAGCTCACCAATCTCATGATTTGGATCTGGATCTGACATCAAACTGCATGATTGTGCAGATGAGTTTGCTGCCCATAGTGGAGACATGACAAGGTGCTCATAAGCTCAACCAGAGGCGAATAGTTGGAGATGCTACTTACACTGATCAGACATACAAAAGAAAAATCAGCTTGTCGTGGAGATGGGTGGCAGCGGCACAACACCCCATCAGCGACGAGATTCCAGTTGTCTACAAGGTCAGCCATTGCATGGCTTGTGCTTATATAGAGAGGCAAACCATACCGGTTAAGCACCATTGCAGCAAAATTTCTTTTCTCTGAATCTCTCTTCCATTTCCAGATACATAGAAAGCACACCACACCATCCCCCATTCCAGCCATGGCTAGCCAGCAAAACCTCTTTTCTCTGAAGGCGAACATCTCTTCATCTTCGGCTACCATTGAAACAATGTTCGATGGCTTCAGGAGGTGTGTACGTGTGTACAATAGCATCGAGGAGATCATATGCAGCCAAATTATCCTTTGCCAGAGCAACAAAGGTAGGCTGTGGAGCTTGAGCTACAGCACTATCTTGCACTGATCGACATCCTAGAGAGCTTTTCTTAGCTCAAGACAAGCACTCAGGAAATTACATTGGCTCTCAGACCAAGATCCAGTCCTTCAGCCGTCTGACCAAGATGGGGCCAAAACAGTGGAAGAAGATCAACAAGAAATCTCCTTCAGCTGACGAGGGTTGCAGGGTGGTCAAACTGTTGGCTGGAGCAAGAGAGGTCGTTGCTTCAATGCTTCAGTCACCCAGGCGGCTCCTACTGAAGTAAATTGTGATGCAGATTTATAACAAGTGGTATCTTGTCTCTAAGTTCACTTCTATGCAACAAGGAGCAAATACTGAAACTGGAGTTTCGTTGTTCTTAGGGCAGTGCTTAGACTTTGTTGAGGAGATTGATCAGAGCAGAGTTTCTTTTCTGAATGCACCCACCTATTAGAGGATCAGTTTAATGTTTATGCTGTTGATAGCTTGGACAGCGTCTTCAATAATAAAACAACTCTGGAGCATTTAACTCAGATGGATCTTCAGAAAATATAGTTACTCAGAAATGCTCATCATTGCTGGCCGTCATACAAGCTAATACCATATTGTTCAAACCGAGTTTTGGAATGTGTCTCTACAAGATGGCCATGTTATTCAGATGCCATGTGTTCCTCAGCAACAAGCAAAGGATCCTTGTACAGTGGATCTTTCTATCCACGGCCAAATCAAGCCAACTCGAATATCCAAGGTTGAGCAAGCAAGTAGCATGGGCTGTGCAACACACCACACCTATTCAAATCAGTAAATGTATAATAACTAGATAACACGTATGCACCAACCCATACTCGGTTAGGACACCATACAAAATATTTAGAACACACAATTATGTCAAGATCCACCAATAGAGCAAACCATCCGGCTGATTCTTGTCGCCAATTAATGGAACATGACAATGTGATATCTCATTGGAAGAATAGCTACTGTACTAAAGAATTTGAACTACACATGGGCTAAGATTCCAAATGTTGCACCAGATCTCGCAAACTTGGTATACACAATTGTGGAGATGAGTTGGCATGATTCCTTGTGTCTACATTCGAATGGCGCTGTATCATATAGTTCCTCTGTATAAATAGGCCTCAGAAGAAGGCTAAACACATCAAACCGAAAGGTGCTCTCTCATTCTCATATCTTCAAACCTCAAGTACTCAATACAGAGGAAAGAGTCTTAGCAACAGATATGGCTTGCCATCTTAGATCAGTTAGTCTGCCTTCTAGGCCTCACACCAAGGTCGAAGAGGAGATGCACAGCCTAGAGGCAAGCATCTCTTCACCCTCCATGACCATCGAGACAATCTCTGATGGTTTGAGGAGGCTTGGAGACATCTACAACACCATTGAAGAGATCCTGTGCCTTCCTAGCAACTAAATTTGCTCTTCCCAGCAAAGGAAGATGTTGGAAGGTGAAACCGAGTGCTCCCTTGAGCTACTAGATCTCTGCAACGCCATGCATGAGGACTTCACCGAGTTGAAGGCCATTATCCAAGATCTGCAAGTGGTGACCAGAAAAGGAGATGACACCGCTGCTCAAGTCAAGATCCAGTCTTACACCCGCCTAGTGAAGAAGGCGAAGAAACATTTCAAGAAGGTCGCGAAGAAGGTTACATCTGACAAGAAGGACTACAGGATGGTCAGGCTGTTGAGCGAGGCTAGGGAGATCACCACCTCTCTCCTCGAGTCAACAGTACACCTCTTGTCCAAGCAAATCGCAGTGCCAAAATGGTCTCTCGTCTCCAAGGCATTCCAGAAGAACTCGGTTGTCTGCAAGGAGGAGCAGTTGCAGGTCCTAGAGTGCAGTGTTGGAGATCTTGAGACTGGAGCAGGAATTCTGTTCCGGAGATTGCTCCAGAGCAGAGTTACTCTCCTAAACATTCTTAGCTCATAGATACTCTTCAACATCTGTTACTCTTGCACCGTGCGATTGGCTTCCACCTTTTAAAGGATTGCTGATCTTTCTCAGTGTGTGTGTATATATATGTAGAAATGTACAGAATACTCCATACAGAAAGGAAACAAAAGTTTTGATCGAACTCATACTGTGAATTCAACCTTTGCATGCTTCTGAGATTCCGTGCTGGTCCATAACTACCTACTTGTTTGTACCTTGTATATTAATGTGGCCACGTTGCCTCACACCTGCTTAATCTCATGATTTTGTTTTAGCATCTTTCCCTTACATGCCAGGTCCAAACTACAAGGCAAGCTTGCAAATGGATAACATGCTGGCTAGATTTTCTTCACGGCGACATAGCCTGGCCTGTTATTGCATTGTTTTTGTTTGCACCCAGCATCTAAAACACAATTGCAGTGAAAGAGATAACAACTTCAATTTTTCTGTTGGCAAGGCTGTGGTGGTTACAGAACAATCTGAAAATTTTCTAGAATTCTCGTGTACTTCTGATGATACTCAGTACTGGTATCCATATCATTTGAGCACATACATGACATTGCAATATGGCGTGGCTGCGCACTACCTTCATTACTGACACCAACCAAATAAGTTCAGTGAGCGAGAAATTATGTGCAGAGCACATAAATTTTAAACCGAGCGCGTGGATTTAGAATAACCTGATAAGATGCAAATTCTGACGACTCAATAGTTTTCAT